GAACTATATTCCTGGCCCTTTTTTGTTTGTTTGTTTAAATCTTAGTCTCTTATTTTATTTTTTTATTTTTTTTGATGCAAAAGTCTTGCTGGCTTTGAGCTTTCTATGTAGCTCAGGCTGGCTCAAACTCATGGTGATTTTCTTGCCTCAGCCTCTCAAGTGCTGGGATTATAGGCATGGGCCACTATGCCAAATTCAGTCCTGGTCTTTTATAATACATGGTCACTGTAGATAACAAAGAAAAATGCTCATAATCTCCATATTCTACATTTTGTTTTTGAGACAGGGTCTTGCTATGTAGTTGGGCTGGCCTTGAACTCACCATGTAGCCCAGGCTACCTCAAATTTATCAGTCTTCCTGCTTAGCCTCCTAACGCTGAAATTACAGACATATACCACCACATCCAGCCAGTTTACTATTATTATTTGTACTTTTTAGTTCCTGTCTTGTATAGCTGATACACATATAATGACATACTTAAGGTATCTTTTTTCAAACATGGTATCATATTATATATAGTTTTAAGATCTGTGTTTTCGTTTAGTGAGGTAGCATGAACGTTTTTGCTCCCTGAAAACTTATAGAGGTGGGATCTGAAGGTGTAGCTCAGTGGTAGAGCACTGGCCTAGCAAGTACAAGTCCTGGGCTTGATTCCAGCAATGAAAGATGAGATGAGATGAGATGAGATGAGATGAGATGAGATGAGATGAGATGAGATGAGATGAGATGCTAAAACCCACCAAAATACAGTTCTGCCAGACACCAGCACTTGAGAGGCTAAGGCAGAAAGATCACCAAGCGTTCAAGTCCAGCATGCTTCAAAAAAACAAAAAAGCAATTAAAGCTTTGTGGGATAGAAGTCCAACACAAATCTCATCAACAAAAATCAAGGCTAGACTCTTTTCTGGCACCTCTAATGGTAAACCTGCTCCCTTGCCCTTTCCGGCTAAGAAGCTGCTTGCATTCCCTCCCTCCTGCTTCCAAGCCAGCAAGAATCCATCCCTGGTCCTTTCTCCATAGTCATGACTCCATCCAACTCTCCACGCCTGCTTCCTTTCACTGTTAAGGACTTCTGCTATTCCACTGGGCCCATCCAGATAATCCAGACTCCTTTCCCAGTCTCAGAGTCCACTCAGGAGCAGCCTTCATTCCTCTTTGTCAAGCAGCCTAACACAGTCCGATTCTGGAGATTAGGATGCAGACAATTTTAGGGGAGCATTATTCTGCATCCCTCATTCATTATTGATAAATATCAGCTTTTCTCTTCAATCTTTAAATTTGATTGTAATCCCATCCATAATCTCAGAGGTTTTATGTGACAAGCTGATTTTAAACCATATATATGGCTGGGCATGGTGGCACTTGCCTATAATCCCAGCACTCGGGAGGCTGAGGCAGGAGGATCACTACAAGTTCAAGGCTAGCCTGAACTAAATAGACCCTGTCTAGACCCTGTCTAAAAAAAAAAAGTACATAGATATAAAAGTGTAGTGAAAAGCCAAGACTATCTTGAAGAACAAAATAGAAAGTTCCTCCATGTATGGTAATACATGTGTCCAATCCCAGATACTCCAGAGGCTGAGACAGAAGGATCTCAAATTGAAGGTCAGCCTGAGAACTTTTATTTTTATTTATTTATTTATTTATTTATTTATTTATTTATTTTGGCGGAACCAGGGATTGAACTCAGGTCCCTGCACTTGCCAGGCAAGTGCTTATTCTACTGAGAGACCTCCCCAGCCCCCAGCCTGAGAACTTTAGCAAGACTCAGTCTCAAAATAAAATCTTAAAATGACAGGTGATAGAATGATTTCCCAGCATGCTTGAGGCTTTGGGTTCAGTCTGTAATACCATGAACACACACACACACACACACACATACACACACACACACACACATACGCACGCATGCACACACACCTGCTAAAATAGACTTCACCAAATTAAAAATTTCTCTTCACCAGCGCTCAAAGAGAGCGAAAAATCAAGCCTCAGAGTAGGAACATATATTTGCATTAGAAACAGACATTCAGGCCAGGGATATAGCTCAGTGGCGTAAGTGCCTGCCTGGCAAGTGCAAGGTCCCAAGTTCAATCCCTGGTACCACAAAAAACAACAAACAAACAAAGAAAACCATACGAGAAACAGACGTTCAATGAAAGACTCATGTTAGAAACTTGTTAAGAATTTCTACATCTAAAAAATAAAAATAAAAAATAGAACTTCTGCATCCATAAAGAAAGGACAGGCAATTGATTTTTTAAAAATAGGTAAAAGACTTAAGCAGTGTTTCATGAAAGATATTTAAATGCCAATAAAAACATGAAAAAGAGTTGAATAACATTAGTGACCAAAGAAATGTAAAATAAAAGAATGAGACAGCTCTGTAGTCCCAACAGAATGGCTAAAATTTCAAAAACTTCCAGCACCAGGGCTAACAAATAGATGAATGGCAGGAATTTCCACTACATTGCTGGTGAGGATGTAAGTAGTTGGGAAAACCATTCATCACTGTCTACTAAGGCTGAACATCCAGCCTGTGTGGCAGCAGACTGCCTATAATCCCAGCACTTGGGCAGGCTGAGAGAGGAGGATTACAAATTTGAGCCCAGCCTGGGCAATTCAGCAATATTGAGAACCTGTCTTCAAAGTAAAAAAAAAAAAAAAAATTTAAAAAGGGGGGGACTAGGGATATAGCTCAGTAAAAAGTAAAACAAAAAGGGGGGGTAGGGAATGTAGCTCAGTGTGAAGGCTCTGGGTTCAACCTCCAGAGCCTACATAAATAAAACTGAAAATTCACACATATTGTAACCCAGACTTAAAAAAAAAAAAAAAAACCTTTTGTGTCTACATACGTGGTATAATACAAAGAGAAGTGTTGATGAGGATTTAAAGCACAACTTTCCTGGAGGACAATTCAGCAATCTGTCAAAGGCATTAGAAACACACCGATTGACCACGGACCTAGTAATTCTTCTTTTAGGACCATATATCCTAAAAACGGCTGATCCTAAGAAGTAATCAAATCCATAAAAATGTAATCATAGTTTTTGTTTTCAAAGTTTTGATGCCTAATTTTTTTTTTTCCCGTGGAACCGGGGCTTGAACTTAGGCCCTTGCGCTTGCTAGGGAAGCACTTATTCCACTGAGCCATCTCCCTGGCCCCATTGGTGCCTAATTTTTTAAAAAAAGAATTTTTAATGTATTCATACATCAAAATCTTATCACTACTAAAATGTACATGTAGAAGCATATGTATGTGGTAAACTGTTCACAAATGTATGTGTGTGTGTATGTATATATATATATATATATATATATTTTTTTTTTGTCTTTTTGAGACAGGGTCTCACTATGTAGTTCAGGCTGGCCTTGAGCTCACTTTGTAGTCCAGGCTGGTCTTGAACTCATAATGATACTCCTGCCTCAGCCTCCCAAGCTCTGCGATTACAGGGTTGCGCCATCATGTCCGGTTTATCAATACATTTTAAAAAGTCATTTTTTTTTTCATTTTTTAATTTTTTTGAGGAACCGGAGATTGAACTCAGGCCCTTGGGCTTGCCAGGCAAGCGCTTATTTTACTGAGCTATCTCCCTGGCCTAAAGCTAATTACTTTAAAAGCATGTGTGGTATAATACCTGTATTAAAAAAAAACTCTAAAGCAGTAAGGGGAATTGAAGGGACTTAACCCAGGGTTAAGATTAATCAGTAGTGGGATTCATAATGGATTTGGGGGGTGGGGAGGTACCGACGGATTTTTTTTTTTTTTTTTTTTTTTTTTTTTTTTTGGTGGTTCTGGGGATTGAACTCAGGACCCTGAGCTTGCCAGGCAAGAGCTAATTCTACTGAGCTATCTCCCCTGCCTATTGCCTATTTTATTTTTGCACAGAGGCTCGAACTCAGAACCATGTGCTTGCCAGGCAGGCGCTTATGCTGCAGAGCCATCTCCCTGGCCCTGCCTGGCTTTAATTTGATTTTTGATACAGAGCCTTCGAACTCAGGAACCTATCTCGGCCTTCCAAGTGGAAAGGGTTATTTTTAAATGATTTTTTTTTTTTAAATTGGCAGTAAGTTCTATGACACAAAATTCATGTTATATCTTTTTTTTTGGAAATCAAACTCAGGGCCTTACCCTTGCCAGGCTGTCACCGTACCGCTGAGCTATCTCTCCGGCCCCATGGCACAAAATTCAAGCTGTATAGGTGGTATACAGTAAAATTTTCTCTCGTTCCTCCGTCCCCCAGCCACCTCCCCGGTGGCATTCTGGGTTGGTGACGGCTGGGCTCCCCCGTCACCCCACCCCACCCCATCCCTCGTACCAAAGGTGGGGCCAGCGGGGCGGGGCCAGCGCCGCCCCGCCCACCTTGCGCGACTCTGTCGCCCCTCCCCCTGCAGACGCACGCACGCCCACGCTGGATCCCGACACGATGCACGCGCGCCTGCGCCTCTCCGCGGACCGCCTGACTGTGCGCTGCGGCCTTGTGGGCGGCCTGGGGCCGACCCCGGCGCAGCGCTTCAGCTCGCTCTGGCAGGTGCTGAGTCGCGACTGCTTTGCCGCCGGCCGCCACTACTGGGAGGTGGACGTGCAGGAGTCGGGCTGCGGCTGGTGGGTGGGCGCCGCCTACCCGTCCCTGCGGCGCCACGGGGACTCGCCCGCCGCGCGTTTGGGCTGCAATCGCCAGTCCTGGTGCCTCAAGCGCTACGACCTCGAGTACTGGGCCTTCCACGACTGCCAGCGCAGCCGCCTGCGGCCCCGGGAAGACCTGGACCGCCTCGGCGTCTTCCTGGACTACGAGGCCGGCGTCCTCGCGTTCTACGACGTGACAGGCGGGATGCGCCACCTGCACACCTTCCACGCCACCTTCCAGGAGCCCCTGTACCCGGCCCTGCGGCTCTGGGAAGGGGCCATCAGCATCCCCCGGCTGCCCTAGGCGCCCCCAGGGTGCATCTGCTGCTGTCCTCTCTGCCCCACCCCGCCCCCGTCTGACTCCACACTACTTTTAGAGCAGGTCCCTGAAAGTGGGGCGCCCAAGGTACCCAGTTCCCTGAGTCGTCCCATCTCATTGTCCTCAGCCTGGGAACCTCCTGGCACCTTAGTAGGCACACAGTGGGCAGGAAGGCCAGGCCGCCTAGTGGTTCAGGGCGCGGCCTGAAGCCCAGCTCAAACCCAGCTCTGTGTCCCACCCCCTGCCTGGAGCAAGTGCCTGCCCTGATGCTTTCCCTGCCTGCCCCCCCACCAACCTTTTTTTTTTTTTTTTTTGCGGAGCCGGGGATTGAACTCAGCAAGCGCTTATTCAGCTGAGCTCTCTCCCCAGCCTCCACCCTGCCCTTTAAGTGTAGTTTGTAGCTTTTAACCTGGGAGATTTGACTGTTTCTCTGGGGGGTGTCAATAGGAATCAGCAGTTGACTGTCGCTAAGCAACCACAGGCAGTCTGCCCGACTGTCTGCCTTAGGACAGAAAGAAGAATTATGAGGGGACTGAGCAGCTCCACGCAGCCTCTCAGACCTCTCAAGCCCAGGGGTTGCTGGGAGAACTCAGCCCAGGTTCTGGAATGACATGACAGAAACAGAAAAGGCCAAAAAGGAAGGACTTCAGAGCGGCCTCTGGTGGCGTGAGGCTGCCTCTTCTCAGGGCCCGTGCCTCAGGTGTGAAGGTTCAGCATCCTGTCGTTTTCCAAGATGGCTGTGAAGGTTCACTGTTAAAGCATCTCAGATTTACCGAGGAAGCTGAGCAAAATGAAAGCTCACCCCTCCCTATGGCTTAAATAGACACAGTGTTTTTGTTTGAGCCATATAAAACTGTAAAATGGCACTTTAATATGGGGCAACACAATGCAAGTAGAATACAGGGCAAAAGGAACCAAAGTGTCTTTAGTTCTGACCAAATAATTCAAAACTAGCTGGGTAGATGTTAAAGCAGTATGCTTCAGAATTGAAAGTAAAGGGAAATTTACTGGGTATAGCCCAGAGCTGAATTTTTTTGGGGGGCGGTGTGGGGGTGTGGGGTAGGGACTCCCTAGGCAGTTCAGGTTGGCCTTGAGCTCACAATTCTCCTGCTTCAGCCTCCTGAGTGCTGGGATTCCAGGCATGCACTACCACACAGGCCAGAGCTGAATTCTCATGGAAGATGTGTGCTTGACTCCACATCACCATCTTTCCTTGAAGAGCAGGACCTTGTTTAGCAGATCCTCAACTCCAGAGGCTAACCCATTGCAGCTCTTAACGGAGTGTCACTGCTGTCATGCGTAACCTTCCTAAACTCATTGGTCTTTATGTTGTTCCTAAGGGGCAGAATGAAGACAGATTTGCCACTTTCTCAAGGTGGTACAGCTAAGGTTGAAGGGTCTGTGCTTCCATCCAGCAGGCTGTACTGTTCATGGTAGCTGTAATTGGCTGCTCCAGCCCCTCATTGAGCTACTGCCTAGAATGTGTGTTCTCACCCCTTACTCTGTGGACCCTGCTTCCACCTTTGGACTACCTTCTTTGGCTTGAGGTGAAGTTTAGCACCTGAGGGGACTTGTTTTGAGAAGTTTAGGATTCACATAGCAGAGACAGCCAAACTATAAAGTAGAAAAACTGCTCTGGACCAAGGCCTGTGCCAGCCAGAGACCTGGAGTTAGTTCCGTGTTCAGCTGTTTGACCTCAGGTAGTCACCATTTATTCTTGTAGCCTCATCAGTAAAGTAGAGGCAATGATACTGCTGTGAGGAACAATCATGAAATTGCCTTCACACTGGTGCTGTCCTGTTGGGATTTAGTAGTGCCCCCACAGTGGTCTGTATAGCATTACAGCACTGGGACATCTGAGCTGCCCTGCCACCATGTGGCAGGAGTGCAAGTCTCCTTCAGACTTCCAGCATAGGGGGTATGTTTTCTTCAGGCTATGTCCATAAGGGCACCTCAAGACCTTGCACTTGCCAGGCAGGTGCTTAAGCTGCTGAGCTATCTCCCTGGCTCCATAAGGGTTGTGATCATTACCTTATTCCCTTCCATAGTCAAACTGTAGAAATGTCCATCCTCATAGAGGAAACACTCACAGACTCTTTCCCCATGTGGTGCAGGTGCTGGGATCCAGGCCCTTGCACATGCTAAGCAGGTGCCCTACCATTGAACCACACCCCTCATTTTGGCAGCCATTTCTAAATTACAGCAACTTTCTAATGTGATTTGTTTTAATAAAACATGAATATTGTACCTTGAAACTGTTCTTTGTTGGGAGTTCATCTTTTTTTTTTTTTTTTTTGAGACAAGGTCTCACTATGCCATTCAGGCTGGCTTTAAGCTCACTTTGTAGCCTAGGCTGGTCTCAAACTCATCATGATCCTCCTGCCTCAACCTCCTGAGTGCTGGATTACAGGCACCATCCATACCTGGCCAATTTTTTTAAAAGCTTAGTCTTTTTGAGACGTTCATGTCATTTTGATTAAGTAGGTAGCATCCAGGCCTACACAGGCCCTCCTTCACCTCACATCCCCTCCTTAACTTACTGTGATACGCAGGTCTCTGAGTAAACACCTCCAGAGGTAGGGAATGCACAAATCCTAAAGACAACTAAATTCTTGATTCAGTGTAAGCTCTTTTATTTACAGCTGTTCCTACTCAAGACAATACCCAGCAGCTTGCAGACTCTTTTAAATCCTTTCGATTTGTGGTCTGAAGCCATTTGTGGTCAGTAGGCAGTTCTGAGAGATCATCTCTCCCTTCTGTAATTCTACTTTGTCAGTGCCATCAGCCGAGTGGGGCTGGCCACAGCCTAGCAGAGGGCACACCAGGGTGCTGCTGTGAAGCCCAGGATGGTTGGGCAGAAGTTCCCTGAAGGGCAGCATGTTGCCAGAGGTGCTGCATCTTCAGTATCCCCCGCCTTCGTTTGAAAAGCTAGTAAATACAGGCTGCCCAGAGTTCTTTGTCAAAATCTCCAATTCTGTAAGTTTTCTGATTCTCCTGGGCCCTGAAGTCATACCATTTGTCTCATTTAAGCCTTCACTGTCCACTCACTTGGGAGACTGTGGGCCTCCTGCCTGCAAGCATTAAGGGATATTATTAATCCCATACATACCCACACACACTGTCATTTTCTTCACATGTATAGATGGAAAGCACACTCTAGACAGTGGCTGTAACAATTAACCCTATCAACCTGATTGGATTAAGAGATCCCAAGAGAAATGATTGGATTCTAAGGGTGCTAACCTCATCAATGGATTAATCCACTGATAAATTCACAGCTGAAAGGGCTCCTGGGAGGTGGGGCTTGGTTGAAGAAAGGAGATCACTGGCAGTGTGGCTCCGCAGTTCTCTTCTGGCTTTCTGTTCTCTTACTGCCTACTGCCGTGTTTCTGCCTTGGAACCAGCCGGCCATGGGCTGAAATCCCTGAAACCATGAGCCAAAATTAGAAACCATCTTTCTTTAAGTTGTGTATGTCAGGTATTTTGTCTCAGAAATACAACAGTGATTAAAGACAAACAAAAACCTGGCTTTTCTACCTTCAACACGACATAGGTTTCCACTCAAAAGATAGTTGAGTTCTGCAACTGCACTCTTCCAACTCTCAGCAGGACTGATTCCTTGCCTTTAGGGAGCCAGCTTGTGGTTTACAGAGCAGCCCAGACCCTTCTTGTGTCTAGGCTGGCAGGACCTGGTGGTGACTCACTGAATCCCTGCTGGGAACAACCCTCAGCTTCTTAGCTTCAGCCCACACCCTTCTCTTCCTTCCAGATCCAGGCCCTGGAACACAACCCTCTACTGTGAGATTGTCTCTTGTTAAAGTCTTGGCTATATGCTTACATATTATGTCATCTTCTCTTGTAGAATAGAGGCCGCTAAATGAGAAACATTATTTACCTGCTTATAGGGAAAAATGAAGGGTTGGGGGAATGAGTTAGAAACTGCTATCATGCGTCTGTTCAGAACACAAATTTACGGGTCCTCTTCCCCAAGTACAACCCCAGGTACCTGCAACCACTTCTACCCCACGACATGAATACCTCTACAGATGTGTTGGGATCGGCAGAAGATAGGCCCTAGACTCACAAGAAAATCTGAACGTCTAATTATAGTCATTTGAAGAGAGCCACAAACAGACTTGGAATGAAGAGGAGTTACACAGTAAACAAGGTCAAATAAATATGAACAAAGATAAAGAATTTGAAAAGACATTTGAAAAAATGATTAGTCTCAGTACTGTTTTTTTTTTTGTTGTTGTTGTTTTGGTTTTTTTTTTGGCAGAACCAGAGATTGGACTCAGGCCCTTGTGCTTGCCAGGGAAGTGCTTATTCCATTGAGCCATCTCCCGGCCCCTCAGTACTGATTAAAAAGCACAAAGGGAAAACTAACACCGAATCTCTGAAAAAGGTGTATGCTGCTTGTTCAAGGGAATAAAACACTGAGAATTTTGTTAGCTGGGTTCCTAATTTTATGTGATGTCACTTTTTTTTTGCTTATAGAAGAGCTGATTTCAGCATTGTTCTCATAGATACAACCTGCAGACTTGGAGCCCCACGCTGCTCCATGCCCTCACACTGACGTTTCCCCCTAGTGTATGTACTATTTTCTAACACTACTGACTGGCTTACCACTCTGGTAGGGTTTCCACAACCTGCCCAGACGGAGGGCCACCTCTGAGGAACTGGGCTGCCTAGTGCTGGCACTCCGTGGGCCTTAGAATTTGACGAAGGGAGATGTGCCAGTTCCATCTGCTCAGGGACAGGCGTGCTTTCAGTATTCCTCTACCTACAAGATCCTCTAAGCAACCCCTTCTCTAATGCCAACTAACTACTACGTCACACTGCTGGATACACAGCCAAAGGCCAGGAGGTAAGGAAAGAAGAAATAGGTAGAGGTGCAGGAAGCGCAACCATGGGTCATTCAGGTTTGGCTTTACCAAGTGATATCAAAGACTCAAAGGACAGAATGCACACAGCTGGCTCTCAGCCCTGCTGTCGCCACTCCGCTCTGGGCTGGCCTACAGGAAGACTGCCCTGTGCGCTATTCTCCTTTCCCATGGACTGGACACAGGCCTGGCCCTGACCTGGCTGCTGTGTAAGGGAGGTACAATGGATGAAAGCCAGGCTCCCAGTGACTGCCCACTCCCATCCCTTCCCCACAACACATCAGTCAGTACCAGCAAAGGACTGAGATGGACAGAATGGCACTTTATTTTAAGACTTGATTTTTTTGCCATGATTTTCTACAGATTCTTCTATGATGGTGTCATCTTCTTCAACAGTGACCAGGATCTTCTTGCCCACGAGATTAAAGATGTCTTCAGGAGGACAGCCTTTAGGTTCACTGACCTTCACGGTGAGCATGTCCAGTGTTAGCACGGTGCCTTCTGGAATTCTCACCTTGGCCACCACGGACTTGCCCAGCTGTGGACAAGAGGAACACTCAGCATCAGTCAGAGGCCACACCTGTACACTGCTTCCCACTCAAGGTCCCTGGGAGGGTCTCCAAGGAACCTTGAGAGTAGGGACTCAGTTGTATCTACAGTGCGCAGAACAGCATCTCTCACAGGCAGAGACTTCCAGTGTGGGGTGACCTCACAGGCCCCAGGAGTGTCCTTTCTGTACAGCAGACTGCAGGGTAAAGGAGTTAGGCTATGCAGCCAGCCACCAGCCAGCCAGGGTCAATCCCTGGCACCTTGGGATAAGGTATTTTGGCTTCATTGTGAAACAGGAAATATAGGAATGACTCCACAGGTGTGATAAACCTGAAAGTACAATGTTCTCAATATGTGAAAACTATGATTACTTCTGTCTAATCATACAATGCAACATCTCATTGTAAACTTAATGGGGAAACTGAGGCCTACAGAGTGTAACCTGGCCAAGGATGCAGCCAGGACGAGAACCCAAAGCAGGATTGCCCAACCTTTGTGAGCTTACAATGATACAGTTCGCTGGCTATGGCATTCGGGCCACAGGTGAACCACCACTGACCTCGAGGATGAAGGCCCTGACTAATGACCTACTGCTTTTAAGGGACACAAACCTTATTGCCACTTTGTTTAGTGAAACAGAACTGTGGAGGGCTCACAAGTTGGTGAAGGTGACTGCTGTCCACACAACAGCCATGGGGCGCCTCTAAGATGGGGAGGCGAGGGAAATGAAGGCCACTGAAACTTACTTCCAGGCTTCAGCCTCCCCATATATGATCTGAAACAAGTGACCTGTCACCTCAGTCTACATTCTCCACATAAGAGCCCAAGCAACCAATTCTCCTTGGAAATTTAGTATTAGGAAAAAAATGTCTGTTAACTGGTATCACATGCTTAGCCGCCATAACTGTTTCCAGTTTCTAGTACAATTTTCTTCTGCAAGACAGTTGTGTTCTAGGGGCCAGGGAGATGGCTCAGTAGTATAAGTGCTTGCCCAGCAAGCGCAAGGGCCTGAGTTCAATCCCTGCTCCTGGCCAAAAAAAAAAAAAAGATAGTTGTGTTCTTTTTGCTATTGACTTCACACATACATGTATGTTTCATCTGGGGGCAGCAGCAGGCAGGCACTACTCAAATAAAAAATGACAACATCTCCCAAGCCTGGCGTTTGAGCCTTGCCCCAACCCAGGCAGCCTGCAGCAGAAGAAAGGCATCTGCAGGACCCCTGGTTCTGTGATCTGGGGGCAGGAAGGTCCAGACTATCGCTTCCAAGATGCTGAGAATGTCGGTGCACCAGATGGTGGTCTTGGCCTCACCATCCCAGGTGTCTGAAGGCTGATGTGGCCCAGGGAATATCTGTACTGTTTCCCACAAGCCCATCAGGACAGCTAGCCCCAGCGCAGAGCTTCCCTGACGGGAGTGCCACAGACTCTTCCTAGTGTCTCAGGGCTTTCTGACCCCACCACACCCCTGGCTTGGCTCATCCCAGGGCTTCCCCCTGCATATCTATGGGAGGCTAAGACCTCTACAGCCATGACCCACAGTAGCTGCAACAATGACCAAACCTCCACTTCAGTAACACAGTTTCCCTGCAGCTCACATGGGCCTGGCATCACTCAGGGGCAAGGGTGCAGTGTGCCCCTTAGGACAGCAGAACCGAACAGAGACCGGCAGCACCCACCTTCTCATTGCACGCCATCTCACAGGGCAGCATCTGCTTGGTGGGAGAGCCCAGTGCCCTCTCTACAAGTCGCACAGACCGCACCAGCTCAGCCAGTTCTCCAGGCTCCAGCGAGGCCGAGTGATCACTCCCTTTCCAGGTCTTGTCCAAAGTTATGTGACGTTCCAACACCTTGGCCCCCAAAGCCACCGCAGCCACAGATATCGCTATGCCTGTTTCGTGCCCCGAGTACCCTATGGGAATGTCAGGAAAGAGCTTCTGGTATTCCTTTAACATAGAAAAAGGAAAACAATGTCACCCAGGGTGGTACTTCATGCATACTGTCTGGAGTCAGGCAGACCTAAAGTGAGCCACTCACTGGCTGCACAACCTCAGGAAACATGTCGGGGCTCTGGGCCTCTCCTTCCTAGAAAAACAATATGACCTGTCTAGGGTTGTTGTGAATGCTCCAAAACAATGGTTCCTGTCATGATTAAGAGTGTATTTTATGAATGTTTCACCCTATACAAACCAGTAGGAATAAAAACAAAACAATTCCTTAAGCTCAAAAAGTACCTGTCACATTCGATTAGCCTGTGCGACTAAAAGCAAGTGTGCTATAGGCACAAATATCATCAGTTATATGTAAAACCCAAACAATCCGCTAGGCTGGGAATATAGCTCGACGACACAGTGCTTGCCTAGCACACCCAAGACCCTGAGTTCAATCCCCAGTACCAACATTAACAAAAAGGTCAAAATAATCTGTTGGTAGAAATGCTGAATAATTAATTAATCTGTATCGATAATTCACACAGTGGTCAGACATATGGGCAGCCCAAGAGGTGGCTGGTAAAATAACTCCCAAGTGGCATCAACACGGAGATAATTGTGGTACCCTGGCTGGGCATGGACTGGAAAGGATATTTACAACACACTAAGAGCCGGGCATGGTGGTGCATGCCTGTAACCCTAGCGCTTGTGAGCCTGAGGCAGGCGGTTTGCTGCGAGTTTGAGGACAGCCTGGATTACAAAGTGGGATCAAGGCCAGCCTGAACTGCATAACAAAACCCTGTCTCAAAAAGATAAGACAGAAAAAAAGATAACAATGTACTAAGAAAAAAAAAAATCAAGGAGAATACCTGGAGTCAGAAATATTGTTAGTTATAGTAATGTCTGTGGGATGGGGTTACAGAGTAGGTCACTTACTATGCAATATACATTAAGGTTGTTTTGTTTTGTTGTGGTGCTGGGTGTCAAAGCCAAGCCTTGTGCATGAAAGGCAAGAGCTCTACCACTGAGCCATAGCCCTAGACCCTATGCAATGTGTTTTATTTTATTTTATTATGCATTTGGTACAGGGTCTCACTCTGCAGCTCAGACTTGTAGTGATCCTCCTGTTTTCAGCCTTGCCAGCGCTCCTCAGGGACAGACAGGGCCGGTGTGGCCTGTGGTGCTGGGGATCAAATCCTAGTCCCTATGCTTGCCTTAAGTAGGTGCTTAGTCCACTGAAGTATCTCTCCCTCGCCAGCCCTACGCAATGTATTTTACAGTTAAGAAAAGATAATGTTTAAGTTTTAAAAATAATGTTTTTTCTCTCTAGTTAGGTCAAGGGCATAGCCAGAAAGAAGTAGAGGAAAAATGATTAGGAAAGAGAAGACAGATAACTTATGTAAAAAAGATGGCAGCGTCAATTTTGAGAAGGATTAATTTTAACTTAAATATGAACACTGTACAGCAACACACAGAAAAGTTTATATTACCATGGAGACAATAAGAACAGAATATCAAATACTCTACAGCTATTATTCATTCAACAAGCTACCTGTTTAACTACTGTTCAGGCTTATAACAGTTTTGTTTTGCTTCTTTTTTTTTAACGTATTTAGTATGGGGTCTACAGGGTCTCAACTACATAATCGGACTCATAGTGATCCTCCTGTTCTCAGCCTCCCAAGCACTGAGATTACAGGTACGCGCCACCTCACCCAGTCTCGGGTGTACCGGGAGTGGCACCAGCATGGCATGCTGGGGATCGAACCCTGGCCACTGCATTCGGCCTAAGCAGGTGCTTTAGTCTGCTGAGCTATCTGGCTGGCCCTTTTTTTTTGAGACAGGGTCTTGCTGTATAGTTCATTATGTGGCCTAAGGTGCCCTCAAACTCTTGTTGACCCTCCTGCCTTAGCCTTCCAAGTGCTGAAATTATAGGAGTATGTCACCATACCTGGCCCGACTTTATTTTTTTTGTACAGTTCTGTGCATCTTGTTTTTAGAGGTTCAATGTCCTCTGTACATTATGCCTTGTTTATACAGTACTGTGATTTTTGCTGACTGTACTGTATAGTAACTTGAGTTTTATGTTCTGGTATACATTACAACACTACATGTAAGAGTCATGCCAGTAAAGGCAAATTCATCAGTTGAGTTTCCTTTGACCATTTCTCTTTGTTCTGAACGTTGTAATGCATAGACTATGTATAATTCTTCCTTTAGTAATGACTTAGTAGAAGTGGAGCCTAGCCATTAAACAAGGAATGTCTGTACTAAAAAGATAATATGAAAAGAAAACTATTAATGATAGTACCAAGCTCATAAATATGTGTCTTATAATTCCAATAATTTTACTATGTTTTTATAACTGCACACACACATATTCCTAATGAGCTTAAAGTTTGGTTGCTGGCAGGCGGAACAGGTAGGGACGGCCTGAGGTAACTACAGACCAACGACCAGCAGGAGTCAGCCGAGCGTAGGCCCAGCTCTGCCACAGCTGCCGCTGGCTCTTGGGCTTCCCTCCTAGGAGTGAACATCACCATCTGTACAGTGGCAGAGTTAGACAAAACTGTAGAGAGAGCTCCCTCAGGCTGTCAGCGGGTATTCAGAATTTAAAAATAACTGAGCCAGCAATAGCAAGGTCGAAAATGCCAGCGTTTCAAGGCCTCTTACAACTCAGTATGGAAAGACATCTGTGTACCAAGGTTCACAGCCATCATTCACAACAGCTAAAGGTAAAACAACCCAATGCCTAAAGCTAGGTGAGTAGATAAACAATGTAACACATATATGCACTAACATATTATTCAGCCTTAGAAAGGAATGAAGTAGCTGGGTGTGGTGGCATATGGCTGTAATCCTGGCATTCCAAGACTGACGGACAAGAGAATTACAAGTTTGAGCCCAGCCTGGGCAACTTCGTGACTTAGCAAGACCCATTCTCAAAATTAAAAATATAGTGAGGGAAAAAAGAAAATTGGCACACACTACAACATGAATAAATTCTGAAAACCAAGGGAAAAAAGGCTAGACATAGAAGGACAAATACTACATAATTCTACTTATACATAGTCCCTGGAGAGGTCAAATGAATAGAGAAATAAATAAAACGCTGGCTGTCAAGCTGAGGGAGAGGAGAAATGGGGAGTTAGTCCAGAGTTCAGTTTACGATGATAAAAAAGCTCTGGAGAAGGTTGGGGTGTGGCTGCTCAACAGTGTAAAGGTACCTACTGCCACGGAACTGTTCGACCAGACGTGGTTACAACAGTAAATCATGTGTATATTTGACCATAACTTAAAAAATAAACAATATCATACAAAAAGATGTGAGCCAGCAATTCACAGAACAGGGACCTCTAGTGGCCAGTACATGCAAGTAAAGAAAATTTGTACAAAGACAACTATACATTTTATAATGGGAGAAACTTCATTTCAAGATTAGTCTTTAAAACGTGTACTTTATCATTACCCTCTTAAGAATCGAAGTGCTTCCTCAACCCCTTGGTTCTAAACAGACTATAACAGCAAGACTTCCAAAGGATGTTTATAAATTATAACATGTTTGGTTAGAATTGCTTTCTAAAAAAGGCTAGGCTGGGGGTGAGGGTGCCCTCCTCCGCTAGGACAGCCCTGGCCTAGCGTGTGTGAGGCCCTGGACCCAATTCTCTGCACCCTCCCCAAAGAAGACACCACTGTGTTGGGGCCTGGCGAGTCAACAGCCTCCCTCATGCTCACCGAGATGACTCGCAGGTTGACGTCCTCGGCCTGGAGGGGGTATGCGCTGGTGCACTGCAGGAAGCAGAAGTTGGGGTTCAGGGGCTTCACGATCTGGTAGACTTGCTTCATGGTAGCCATTGACTGCATCCCGCTGGAGATCACCATTGGACGACCTGAGAGGCCCAAGCAGTGTCTTTAATTTGGGGGTTAGTCTCTCCCTCAAACACACTGCAGCCATCTGTCTCTTCATTCATCTACACCTACAAACACCCCTTGGGACACTGCCTGTCACTGGGGGAGGAGAGAGCTGAGTGTGAGTGTGAGTGCGAGTGCGAGTGTGCTGAGATCCTGCTCTGGACTCCAGAAGGGTAGACCACTCTGTGCCCAACAGTCATCCTTAGCAAAGTGAACCAAATCTGGTGGACAGGAAGAGCACCTCAGTGGATCAAGGGGTTGCACAGTATGTTACAGGTTCAATATCCCTAATCCGAAAACCTAAAAGCCAAAAACTGGAAACACTCAAAACTGGAATGCTTTTGGCCCCAAGCAGTTCAGAGCAGGGGGATCCACCTGTGGCAAAGCAGGGTGAGCACTGACTCCTACTATTCAAGAGCACGTCTGAGCTGGAGGCCCGGAGCGGGGGCTAAGAGCTGCACCTGGGTGAAGCACAACCTTCAGTCTCGAGTGTCTCACCTACGGCATAAGTATAAAGCATCACAGTAACAGGATTTGCTTCCGCCCTGGGGTTGTCAGGATGTTCACAGGAGATGGCTTAGGTCATAAAGTCACTTTGCACATGACGGCCTGTGGCCAGCTGATAGGGTATACCCACAGAATAGTTCCCTAATCAGTTTCCTCTCTAAAAAGTTTGTTTTTCCTGATAGAGTGGATTGAAACTAGCATGTGCATGTTGGGTACTTTTTTAAATTTTGAGACAAAGTCTCATGAAATCACTAAGTTTTCCTATGTGGTTTTAAATTTATAATCCTTCTGCCTCAGCCTCACAGAGTGCTGGGATTACAGGCATGTACCACCTTACTTTCTTATAAATTACAAAGAACTTTACTTTTTCAATGACACATAAAAATTACACATATTTAGGTCTTAAACCATCAGCCTACTCTCCCACATTTTTTTTTTTTTTTTTGCTCCGAATGCCTTCAGGGCAGGTTTGACTGGCTTGAGTTGTGGGGATCAAACCACAGCAACCTGAGCCTGACTGCTTTGCTGAAGCAGCCACTTAAAGAAGTGAGCTAAGGGGCAGGCCCCCTCTTCCACTTTTTAATATACTAACTTACAAGAAGTTAAGCACATGGTGGTTTTATAAGAAACTTTTTGAGACAGGGTTCCACTATTCAGTTTGGGCCACCCTTGAACTCTTGGGATACCTTGTGATATTTTGATGTATGTATACACAATACAATGAAACATGTCACCTCAGATACGATTTTCCTCATGGTAAAAGCATTCAAGACTCTTTCTTCTAGCTTTTGTGAAATAAATAATATACTATGGTCCTATTGTGCAAAGAATACTGGCCATAGGGGCCGGGGAGATAGCTCAGTAGTTTAAGTGCTTGCGTGGCAAGCACAGGGTCCTGAGTTCAATCCCCAGTACCACACACACAAAAAAACTAGCTGTAATGTCTTTTAACTACAACTTAGTGTCTATTATCCAATCTTTTTCCATGCTCCCCAGCCTCTGAAAACCACCATTCTACTCTTAAACTCTATCAAATTAGCTTCACATTTTTTTAATTTAAAAAAATTTCATCTAAGTATGGTGGCTCACACCTATAATCTCAGCACAAGGGAAGCTGTGGCAGGACCATGATGAGCTCAAGGCCAGCTTGGACTACAAAGTGAGTTCAAGGATGGCCTAAACTGAATAGTGAAACCCTGTCTCAAAAAGTTTCTTATAAAACCACCATGTGCTTAACTTCTTGTAAGTTAGTATATTAAAAAGTGGGAGAGTAGGCTGATATTTGGACTCCTTCGGATTTGATGCCCAAAATGAAGACACTTACCTTTTTTGGCTGTCTTTTCCAGATAAGGAAAATTGTTAGTGTCTCCAGATCCAACTTTGAAAAAGGGAACATTCAGTTCATGCAGAAACTCAACCGCCATCTACAATATCAAGGAGATAACGCTTGCTCACTGCTGTTCAAAAGCAGAGCCCTCGTGGTAGAGGCATAAGTGGAGAGGCGATGCGCACATAGAAAAGGGCCCTCTCCTACCCAGCGAGGAAGATGCAAAGACATGGGAGTGGGCAAGATGTGTTCTCAGACATCTCATTTCAAACCGCAGCATTCATTCCTGGCTTCCCACCACTGGTCCAACACACACTCAGTGCTGGTCTAAGCTGGCTCCGAGACTCAGAGCAGAATCACACGGCTGGCCTGACTCTTCCTCCCCAGGACCAGTGGGCAACCACAACAGCATCAGAACTAAACCTTGAGGCATAAAATCAGGCAGTGACAAGGAGTCAGTCTGAGGCTCCACCCTTTACTCAGGACCAAGCAGCCAGAGAAAGAGGTCACTTCCATCCGTGCCAAAAAGGGAAAATGGAGCGTTCGGTGGCCCAGCACTGATACAGTGATCCCCAGCTGGCAGGGCCAGTGGGTCACAGAAAAGCAAGCCTCAGTCACCTTCTTCTGACCCAAGATCAATGCTTAGGGCTACCTAAGGCCCCTGACACTCTTACCTGGGACTCACCAGGAAGTGCCAAGAAGTGGGGAAACGTTGGCAAACACGCTGAAGGATAGGCAGCCAGTTACATGAGTAAAATCTCAAATGGCCATTAAATAACAAGGATGCAAAACAGCTACTTTTTAGTTAAGATCTTTGTCTAGCTCGACTGAAGTATAATTGGTTGCCAAAAGCTGCACACAATGTACAAAACCTGGTGAGTCAGGAGACATGTACACATATGATCCCATCATCACAAGGTGACAAATGCACCTACTACCTCCAACTTGGGGGGTCTGAGTTTTTCTTTAACTGAAGTTGGAATATCAAATCTCAGAATGGTTCCAAATATCTAAGTTCCATCAAAAAACACCTAAATTAATAAATAAGTTAGGATCTGATGAGCGAGGCCAGTACTTCTAACATTTTATTTATGTATACAGATATATAAATCATTTATTTATTTATTTGGTACAGTGTCTGGCTATGCAGCATGGACCCATAGTGATCCTCCTGTTTTTAGCCTCCCCAGTGCATGTGCCACCACGCCTGGAGCCCAGTTTTAGTACAGCATGCAGGGATCCAACCCAGATCCCTGCGCTTCCAAGCAGGTGCTTAGACTGCTGACCTATCTCACCAGCCCTCTAACATTTTATTATGTGCACAACAATCTCCCAAGGATTCTTTTTTTTGGTATTTTAGGGAATGGTCTACAGGTGTTCAGGGTCTCACCACTAGATCAGACTCATAATGACCTGCCTGTTTACAGCCTCTCAAGAACTGGGAGTACAGGTGTGCCACGACACCTAGTCTCAGTTGTACCCCAGGGGCGGGCCAGCACGGTAGGCCTGGGGATCGAACCCCCTGCCCCTGAGCCTGCTTGCAGGCGCTTTAATCCGCTGAGCTATCTGGCCAGCCCTCTCCCAGGGATTCTTTCCCTCCACCTTTTTCTTTTTCACTCACTCCTCTTTATATATCACACTGTTAATCATCCCTCTAAAGCTGAGACTGAAAAATAATCCATTTTCAACATATTGAATGAATAAAGCTTAATTTTCCCAGCTATCTGACCCTATCCGGCAGGTGAAGAACGTGTTTTCTACGTACAGAAGGAAACTTCTAAGATTTCTTCCAGATGATGTTCAAAGGGTGGGGCAATAACTTCCAGGCATTTGCACATGGATAAGCCCGCTGGGGGGGCCAGAGCAGCAGAGGTAAGGAAGAGAGGGTAAATGCAGAAAAGCTACTTGGCCAGAGCCCACCCACAGAGACTGTGACGTCTGCATGAATTCTAGCATTTTCAAATGGTAAAAAAGGAGAACTAGGACCGGCCAAATAGCTCAATGGATTAAAGTGCCTGCTTAAGTGGACACAGTGGCCAGTGTTAGATGCCCCCACCACCCCCGGGGCGCGCTAAGGGTGACTGAGACTAGGCATCGTGGCGCATGCCTGTAATCCCAGCTCTTGGGAGGCTGAACACAGGTGGATCACTATGAGTCCGATATGCATAGTGAGACCCTGTAGACCCTTACTGAAATACAAAAAAAAAAAAAAAAAGAACTAAGGGAGAAAAAGAGTGGGCCTACCTGGCAGCCCTTCTGGGGCAACTGCTGCCACCTAGTGCCCATTTAGAAAACTGCCACTCCAGGCTCCTCAGCCCAGCAAAAAATGCTCACTTCAGTCACCCTGATCTTAGCCTTCCCTCCTAGGGCAGCGCCACTGCGCACCCAGGGCCTCTCAGGCTGTGCTGGAGCTCAGGGAACCCTTCCTTTCATGGCCTCTTTGGTTTTCCGTAGCCTGCCCTCTCTACTGTCCAGTCCACCCAGGTACAGGGATGCCAGGCAGCCTCAGGACTTCTCTCCCTGGCTCTCATCCCATGGCACAGAGGTCCTGGGGTCTGTCTGAAGGAACTCATAAGACCCTCCTTTGGTACTCTGCCAGCTGGGTTCAGTGTGCAGAAACCAACACATTGGTTTGGGGAAATCCATACTGCCACAGCTCCACAGAGGGTCCTGGCCAACCAACCTGTCTAAGGCTAGCATATGCCAACCTGTTTGGCTCAGGATGCTGAAAACACTCAATACAGTCCAGTAGAAAAAGTAAAAAATATGTGCCCAAAGAACCCCTTTCAGCACTGCGCACTAAGCTCTAGCAAGCACAGGGCTAAGAAGAAAGGGTAGAGAAGGGGTTTCTGCAGTCCTTCCCACTCACGTTTCTGGAGCCCACAGGAGAGCAAAACCCACAGTGATGAGCTGGGAAGAGTAATGGACACTCTAGAAAGGGGTGGCCCATACATAGTACATGAGGCCACCATGCCACCTGCTGCTGGGTGACCACAGTGGGAGGAGACCAGGACAGAAAGCCCCTGCAGAGGCCAAGTGCTATGAAGGAAGGTAACAGTGATGGCAAACATTTCAGCGCCTCCAATGACATAAACAGACTGCTGGGCACATGTACCATAGGCTCACCACCCTGCAGGTGAAGGAAGCACCTCTTCAGGCCACCAAAACGGCCTTGGGTTCCCTCTGCTTCCCATGAAACTGTCCATTTACTCAATATAAAGACCTTCTGCCTCTTTCAGCTGAGTTTTACATGCCTTTGCACCTTGGTCAGACATCCTGGTAGTTTATCTTTCCTTGGCAAACAGAGAACACCTAGAATGGCGAGTGGACTGGAGAAGGGCAACACTCACCAAATGCCTGTCTAAAAGGAAAGCAGGGCAGAGCAGCAGAGGTAAGGAAGAGAGGGTAAATGCAGAATGTTTGCCTAAACACTGGGGCCACTCACTCAGTAAACACGGAACAAGGAACAAGCAACCAACAGCCAGCTGGACAGGAAATGCTGGCTCTGCAAACACCTGCAAGGTAAAGCTAGGTAGCGCTTAGAAAGGCTCTGAAGACTCCACTTTCCAGTCAGTGATATACCCTGTAATCCATCATTCAGGAGGCTGACACACAAGGAATTCAAGTTTGAGCCTAGCCTGGCAACTTAGCAAGACCCTGTCTCAAAATCTGGGGCAAAGGGGCAGGGCTGGGGATATAGCTCAGTGTGAAAGCCGGAGTTCAATCTCCAGTAAGAGACAGGAAGAGAGGGAAAGAGACAGAGGAAACAGGAGTGGGATAGGGAGGGAACACAGGGAGAGGGGGAGGGCATTTTCTTCTTCCTCCCTGTGCCCTAGGTAAGCCAGGAGACCAGCTGGGAACAAAGGGCACTCTAAACAATAAACTTCTTCGGCAAAAGAGGTTGAAGCAGGAAACAGCAAAGGGTCCTCAGGAACAAGCCAGCAAGCACTGATGGAAGCAGTCCTGGCCCTAAGCTCACTCCAGCAGCCCAGGCCACATACAAAGTGTTAGCACCCAGGCCAGTGCTCGGGGCCCAGCTCCAGAGCAGAAACCGAAACAACGGACAGAGGGCTCCCTGGGAGTGGAGAGAAAGGAAACCAAGAAAGGCTGCGGACAGAGGCAGCCCACACCAAACACCCACACTCCTCTCTCTTCCAATGTTTCTGGCCCTCAAGCAGCACACAGAGAAGGAACAACCTAGAGAAGTGCCTTTTCCTCAGCAGTCACTACCACCACGAGGTGCTTTGCTCTGGCCTTCAGACCCAGGAGGCTAGGCTGAGGTGGGAAAGCCTTGTCCCAGATACATAACACCTTGGTGACATCACTGGTTCTATGCTGACTGGGGTGTCAGACAACAGCTCATTCACACATAGAAATGGAAATAGAGGCCTAAGGAGGGCCGGACCCACCAAGGTCCCACTGTGAGTTAAGGGCAGAGTCATGGCACATGTCCTGACCCTGAGCCTAAACTGCTTTTCTTCACCCTCACTTTTGCTGCGCCCTGGCTGTGTGATGTGCTGCATGTCAATAATCATACTTAATCCTCCAACTGTAAGGAACCCCACTTTATATCTGAAGAAACAGGCACAAAAAGGTAATACAACATCCACACAGAAACACCAGGAATGACAGACAGAGCCATATTCAAATTCACAATCTGGGGCCAGGGAGGTAACTCAGCGGTCTGAGCACCTGCCTGGCAAGCACAAGGACCGAATTTGATCCCTGGTACTGCATGCTGTGTTGGCCCTGAAACTGGGCATGGTGGCACACACAACTGTAACCCAGCACTGGGGAGGTTGAGACAGAAGGGTCCCTATGAGTCCAAGCTACGTAGTGAGACCCTGTACCAAATAAAGAAAGAAAGACTTTTTTAAAAAATTCTTTTTTTTTTTTTTTTGAGGACCTGGGGATTGAACTCAGGCCTTTGCGCTTGCCAGGCAAGCACTTATTCTACTGAGCTATCTCCCCGGCCTCTAAAAATTTTAGAATCTGACCCCAGAGCCCACTCATTCAGCTACAGGCCCAGAGTCCAGGCATGAGCCACACAGGACTGTGCACCCAGCAGCAGAAATGGTTACCTACCCAGCAAGGAAT